TAAAACAACAAAATAAAAATGAATGAATTAATAAATAAATAGTATTATTCATTCATTTTCCTTCGACTTAGTTCCTTATTTGACAGGGGTCACCACAACAGAATGAACCGCCAACTATTCCAGCAAATAGTTTACGCAGCGGATGCCATTGCAGCCGCAACCCAGCCCTGGGAAACACACATACACACTCACAAGCACACATGTACACTACGGCCAATTTAGTTCATTCAATTCACCTATAGTGCATGTCTTTGGACTGTGGGGGAAACCGGAGCACCCAGAGGAAACTAACACCAACAGAGGGAGAACTTGCAAACTCCACACAGAAATGCCAACTGGATCAGCTGGGACCCAAACCAGCAACCTGCAGACTGTGAGGCAATCGTGCTACTCACTGCGCCACTCTGACATCCATTATTATTATTAATATTATTAGTTTGTTTATAAATGTGTAAATAACTAAATATTTTTTTGCTTCCTATTTAATAAATAAAACTAAAATATATAAAAATATAAGTTCATTCAAATAAAATAAATAATAAAAGATAAATAAGCGAAAATAAAATGCTAATAAATATAATGATTTTTCTCCAATTATATTTGTATTATATTATTTAAATATTATATTAAATTAAGTAATAATGTATTTTTTTTCTGTGATTATTTTTATTATTGTATGTGTGTGTGAGTGTGTGTGTGTGTGTGCGCATGCGTGCGTGTTTGTCTATAAATAAGTGTAAATGAGCAGACAATTAAATTTTGTTTTTCAATAAAGTAAACCAAATAAATGTAATTAGTTAATTCTTATTTCAAAATAAAATGAAATAAATAATTTTCCAGTGTTGGGTTGCAGCTGGAACGGGATCCACTGCCTAAAACATATGCTGGATAAGTTGGCGGTTCATTCCGCTGTAGCAACCCTAGATTAAAAAAGGGACTAAGCGGAAAAGAAAATGAATGAATGAATGAAATAATAAAAGATAATGTCCAAAACAGGTGAAAATAAAATGCTAATAAAATATAATTACTTTTCTCTAATTAAATTTTTATATTTTTAATTTAAAATAGAATAAAATAAAATAATAATAAAAGACAACGTATAAAAATAAGTGCAAAAAAATGCTAAACAAATATAAAGGTTTTTCTCCAACATTATATTTTTAATTAATAAATATGTATTTTATTTTTAATTAAAATAACATTAAATTAAAAACTTAATAAAAAATTAATATAAAAAACTGTGAATCACTGAAACAAAATTTTCCATCAATGTGGCGTCAAAAATAAAATCATCGAGACTGTTTCAATGTGGTCATGTCATTGGCCCATGAACATTTCCAGCTTGTTATCAAACTATTTCATAACTGTAACAAGGCAATTCAATCATGACCTAATGTTAAAACAGCCATCATAACATTATTTATCAATATGTGGCTCTCTTTGGGTTCTCGAAAGCTATGGAAATGAAAAATGTTAAACAGGAAATACATTGTGGCCATTGTTTTTGTTTACATTCCTCAAAATGGTCTATAATTTACATATAGCATATATTATACTTGACAAGCAGGCAGACTATAAGACATCCCAGGACTGAAGCTCGATTAATCCTGTTTACAGGCTTGTGTGCCACTCAACTTCACCTTCATTCATTTACAGCCTCCAGCACAAACCAAGGGATCAGACTCTGAGCTGTTATAAATACATCTACATCACACACACTTCATGCATGATTCAAAAACATCCACAGGGCCCTCCAGTCTGGCTCCAGCGTCCTGATTTCATTCATAATTTGAGCAGCGTTTCTCCTAGCAGAGTCAAAAAAGACTGAGGGAATTGCTAGAATTGGGACAGTCTGTTCTTTTACACGGCATTCGATATTTTGATGTGCACCGAAGCTGTTATGAAACACAACTAATCGCTCGTTCGGGGTTTTCGCTCATCTTGCATTCGCAGAAGATAATATCGGAAATGAGTCGATGGTAATCTACTTATTTGGATTAAAATGATGTCGACCGCAGAGACGCCAGTCATTTAGCATCTAATCGGTGTGTTGTTTGACTGCAATAAAGTCATAATAAATGTCAAGAGATGAGAATAATACAGACGTGGTTATTAGGATTTAGATTGGATGTGTTCATTCTGTATAGTTCAGTCATCTTGTATGTTTGGGATGGATTTTTAATAAAAGATACTGACAGGGTTTGGTTTATTTTTAATATTATACGAAAACACAAAAAGAAAAGAAGAGGGTAAAAGATATTGTTTTATATTAATTCTATATTGATCAGATATATTTTTTAAGCTGTCATATGGGACAATTAGCCATACTTTTGGTGTACAAATTAAATTAAATTAAATTAAATTAAATTAAATTAAATTAAATTAAATTAAATTAAATTAAATTAAATTAAATTAAATTAAATTAAAATGTGTCAGATGCTAGACAAAAATGGTCAAGGGGAATAAAATAAAATTAAATAATAACGTAAAATAAAATAAATTAAATAAAAAGGAAGTAAAATAAAATAAAATAAATATAAAATACGAGGAAACAAAATAAGTCAACAAATGTCTGTAAATTAAAGTTTGAACACAAATTAATTTTATTTTTTCATACTTACACTGAAATTCAGATGTGTCAGATGCTAGACAACAATATTCAAGGGGGAGTAAAATAAAATAAAATAAAAGTAAATTAAATTAAACAAAAATTAAATCTAATTAAATTAAATTAAATAAAATAGCATAAAATTAAGTTAAGTAAAGGGAAATAAAATAAAATAATGACAAGAGGGAACAAAATACAAGTCAACAAATATGTGTAAATCAGAGTTTGAATACATACTATATTTTTATTCCAATTTGCCTGTTTTTGTAATATGATTTCACTATTTAACTATAGAATTTGCAAAGAATATTTTTGTGAAATTATATTATTAAGGAGAAAGTCTAAAAGGTCTGTATGAATATAAAACCAACTGTACCTCGATACCGATACAGACCCTTTAGCTATACCAATAGAAAAGGTATGACCTAATTGACCGCTTTTGTACCTCTATTTTCTGACAGTGTAGCAACATTTTACCATAATTAACGCGTCTCTTACTTTAAATGAACACTTGTGGTATATTTTTTACAGGTAGGCTACACTTTTGTACTTTTCTAGCTACTAATATGAGTACTGCATGTACCGTACCTTTAAGGAACCAGTATGGACCCTTTAGCCATTTAAAAACATGCTGCCTGACTGACTGCTTTTGTACCTTTATTTCTGAAAGTGTAGTTACATTTGATCACACTTAAATAATAAAAGCTGTCACTGAGGTAATATCTCTCTTTTTTAGTTTACACTTCTGTGCTGTTTAGCTACAAATATGAAGATTTTATGTACTGTATCTACCTTTAAGGCACTAATATGGAGCATTCCAAAAGGTGCCGCCTTGTTGACAGCTTAGTACCTTTATTTTTCTGAAAGTGTAGTTACATATGACCACATTTAAGGTGTGTCTTACTTTAAACGAATGCTTCTGGTATCTTTTTTACAGGTAGCTTATGGCACCAATATGGACCCTTTAGCTGCCATTAGAAGATGTGCCGCCGCATTGACAGCTTTTGTACCATTATTTCTGAAAGTTGCATTTGACCACATTTTAAATGAAAACTGTCACTTTAGTGGAATCTTTCTTTTACAGGAAGGCTACACTTTTGTACTTTTTTAACTACTTATATGAGCACTTCAAGTATCTACGTATTAGGCACCAATATGGACCCTTTAGCTTCCATTCGAAAAGGTGCCACCTCATTGACAGCCTTGTACCTTTATTTCTAAAAAGTGTAGTTAGATTTGACCGCATTTAAGGTGTCTCTTACTTTAAACGAAGGCTTCTGGTATCTTTTTTTTACAGGTAATATACACTTTTTTGATTTTTTACCTAGTAATATGAACACTATCTACCTTTGACACAGCAATCTGCACCCTTTAGCTCCCATTAGCTTTATACCTTTATTTCTAAAAGTGTAATTACATTTGATCACCTTTTAAATTAAAGCTATCAATTGGGTGGAATCTTTCTTTTACAGGTAGGCTACACTTTTGTACTTTTAACTACTAATATGAACACTTCAAGTAGTATCTACATATAAGGCACCAATATGGACCCTTTAGCTTCCATTCAAAAAAAGTGTCCCCTCACTAACAGCTTTTCACCTTTATTTTTCTGAAAGTGTATCTACATTTGACCACATTTAAGGTGTCTCTTACTTTAAACAAACACTTGTATCTTTTTTACAGGTAATTTACATATTTGTACTTGTTAGCTACTAATTATATGAACACTTCATGTACTGTATCTACTTTTAAAGGCACCAATATGCACCCTATAGCTGCCATTAGAAGATGTGCCGCCGCATTGTTAGCTGTTGTATTATTTATAAAAGTTTGACCACATTTTAAATGAAAGCTGTCACTGGAGTGGTATCTTTCTTTTACAGGTAGGCTACACTTTTGTACTTCTTAGCTACTAATATGAAGACTCCATGTACAGTATCTACCTTTAGGGCACCAATATGGACCCTTTAGCTTTCATTTAAAAAGGTGCCGCCTCACTGACAGCCTTTTTACCTTTATTTTTCTGAAAGTGTAGCTACATTTGACCACATTTAAGGTGTCTTTTACTTAAAAAGTACACTTTTGGTATCTTTTTTTTTTTTTTACAGGTAATGTACCTTTTTGTACTTTTTAGCTGCCATTAAGTCAACAATGTTGACCCTTTAGCTGCCATTAGAAGATGTGCCGCCTCATTCACAGCTTTGTAAGAGTGTATTACATGTAATCACATTTAAATAAAAGCTGTCACTGGAGTGGTATCTCTCTTTTTTTACAGGTAGTTTGCACGTTTGTATTGTTTAGCTACTAATATGAACACTTCAGACACTGCAGCTACCTTTAAGCCAGGTGCCGTCACAGTGACAGCTTTGTATCTTTATTTTACTGAAAGTGTATTTACATTCGACCACATTTAAGGTGTTTCTTACTTTAAATTAACGCTTGTTGTTCGTTCATAAGCTTCCAATGCGCTGTCTGACGCTCTTCTCTGGCTCACAGCACATATGAGGCACCTTGTTTTCCTGAATGAAATCGTACGCGCGCGCTATTAATAGCCCCGGCTCTATGACGTCACAATGGAAGCCGCATCTGACTCGCGACAGATGATGATTCTCTCAAAGAGCCTCGCGACCGGGAAGGACACACTACTATCCCCACATATTTGTCAGTCCACACGCCTGCAAACACACAGGAATTAACTTTTTTCTCGCTCACAGAAAGGGACGTAGTGGCGGTTAGGAGATGGTTTTGCAGCATTTGCCCAGCTAGCGACGAGCGTTCGTTCTTTCATAACACCAGCAAGCTGCAGTCACTGTGTACTGAACTGACTTCTGACAACAATAAACACACACCTCACAAAGACACGGTACGTATGCTGGTGTCCACCATGTGATGATGGCTTTTGTTTGCAGGGTGGTGTCCTCGTGCAATTATTCATGCACCTTGTGGGACAGTTGATCTCAACTTCTTCAAGAAAACGATGTTTTGTTTTTTATAACATGTATAGGTCAATGGTTATAATAAGAGTTATATTTGTTTATTAATAAAGTATTTATCAGAATTACATTTTGTGGAGTAGCCTAATTTCATTATTCCCAATGCATTACAGGTCTGGTTTAAAACGCTTCATTAGCTATTATTTTGCAAGTTCACACCTTCAATTTTTAAATATGTCTAAATTAAAATGTGTTATTGCCTTTAATAATAATAATAATGATTATAATGATGATGATAATGGACTTATAAATAATCAATCTTGTGTATTCAGTTTTGAGGGTCATATGCAAGCATCGTTTTACTGTTGTTTGTGGATGTTTACATTTTAATTTATATTATGTATACATTGCATAGCATATCTCATTCTATAGAGGTAAAGTTGGTTTTATATTTGCACATTCGTTCATATAGAAAAGTCTCTATATTGTTTACCATGTTACTTGTGAATATTCGATTGGAATTAGCATGCAAGTATGACTTAAAACAGCATTAAAACTATTTAATTGACTGTGAACAATGTTGTACTTTGATAATCATTGGCTGCTAATATAATTTCCCTACTTAGAATTTGCAAATAATTTTCTGAAGTCATGTTATTATGGAGAAAGTCTGAATATCTAAATATAAAACCAAACTTTACCTCTATTCTCATTCTTTTGTGCTGTTTAGCATGCATATTTTTTGTTTTCTATTTCATTTATACTACTTTATTATACTCTTATTCTGTTTTTATCTGAAATTGGAGGTTGTTAGAAGTGCTGCAGACCTTGGCACCACTTTGGTTTCGCTACAACATTTGCAGAAGTGATTTATGTTTTCAAGTTGTTTATTCATTTACTTGCGTGTGCTTTTTGGTCAGTACTGAATTAATTCCATCTCTTCGTTTGAATACAATGGCCTTTATAGGCTTATAGTTACAACACACATGCCCTAATACGAAATAGATATAACAAGGTGAGATCTATTTAAGTTTGATTAATTGTGGAACCTTACCATTCAGATGTCTCAGACGTTAAAGTTTGTTGATTTACATACCCAACAGATATCCAAATATAGGTCTTTGTTAAAGTTTTGAAAGCATTTATCAGATTTTCATAATTTGTCAACTGTCAATTTGAGAGCAGTCACGTCTGTAACGAAGACAAGTCACATCCGTAACGAAGACAAGTCACATCCGTAACGATAGTTTTTCCTTATTAATGCAAAAATGAAAAACTAAATAAAACAAATTATATATGTTCCACGTAGAGCCATCCCTTATTCTTTTGGCTGTTATATATATAATCATTGCAAAAAAAAAAAAAAAAAAAAAAAAAAAAATATATATATATATATATATATATATATATATATATATATATATATATATATATATATATATATATATATATATATATATATATATATATATATATATATATATATATATATATATATATATATATATATATATATATATATATATATATATATATATATATATATATATATATATATATATATATATATATATATATATATATATATATATATATATATATATATATATATATATATATATATATATATATATATATATATATATATATATATATATATATATATATATATATATATATATATATATATATATATATATATATATATATATATATATATATATATATATATATATATATATATATATATATATATATATATATATATATATATATATATATATATATATA